CACGAGAACAGGATCTGACCTTGGAGCTTGTTTGCTGCACATATGGAAATTAGATGTTTGTTTATTAGAAAGGTTCATTTTTGTTTATCTTAATACAATTCTCACATGTCCATATGTTCATTTGCAGAGTTACTGGCAGTTGTAGTTATTCCTCCTCTCCACACTGTGTCCTCAAAGTGCAGCTCCAATTTAAGAAATGGGAGATGAATTCCACAAATTATAAAGTTATTCTTCTTAATGCAAAATCCTCTGAGCCCAGTTTAAACCATGACAGTGTGACAGACAGTAACTCACACACCAGGACCCGAAAACTGTTGCCGCTACATGTAATTTGCGTTATTATTTACACCTGTGCTTTTCCAGGCGAGTACTGATTGCTGCCTCCTGATTGGTCCACCGGATGACATCAGTCCTATTTGAGCTTCAGCATGACACAGAGAACCAGCATTTTGTGTGTTTTGAGATGCATCGTGGTGTGTTTCAGTTGGGCCTAATGTTTACTTTTGATAACGGTATTTTGTCTTCAGCAATCTTTAGAGTGTTGTTTCACTGCTTGTTTATGTTAACTTACTTAACTATACTGCAATTTATATGTTTTTCCTTGAAAGTGGATTGGAATTGTATTGATGAGTGTTTCGGTCTATATTTACTGTTAGTCTGCTTATTTATTTTTTTCCTTTTTATCCGCAATGTCCCCTTTCCCTTAACAATGTTAATAAATACAATATTTATGACTCATTTGTAAAGATTATCTTGCTGAACAAAATGTGTAAGCTGAGTAAAACTGGTGTTTTTCACAATGTTCCACTTGCAAAGTCTTAATACTACGTGTTAAAATGGGCACTTTATATGAATATAGTATTCATCAAACAACATGAACAATCAACAAATGTGCATGTTACTTATAAAGTGAGCTAAACAGTAGCCAGGTGCTAATATCAGCATGCCTACAGTAGCATGAGGCAAAAGCAGTGCAGCTTGGACTGATGTAACAATAGGTCTTGTTTCACAGCAGACAATTTGACTTTTCATCGGTAAAGAATGGCTTGGTTTGGGCTTTTAGTCTTATTTAACGGGTTATCAATTGGGTTTCAAGAAACTGTGTCTCAGGGCTTCTTAACATTTAACAACCTATTAATGTGTCATACCCACTTTACGGGAAGAAACTCAGCTAACTGACGATACGAATCATTTTTACCGAAACAAAACACAAGTCTAACGCCGAGCCTATGAATTAGCTCTAAGCGAAAGAGTGCTAACGCACTTAGCACATAACTCACGGTAGAAATATTGTATACTTCATCGGATCTGCACAAACTAGATATCATATGAAAGCTGATATTCCACAGATACCAATGGTATAAGTATCATCACTGCGTGACCAAAACTCGCGGCAACGAAAGCCAGCAAAGACAACACACAACTTCACTTTACGGGGCCAAAACGGCAAATACGTCTTACCTTTGCTGTTTTCTGATCAGAAGTTGTGTTCAATGGCATATAAACGCTGCTGACGGTTAATCCAATGTCTCTGTGTCACTTTGAAATGATTATTGATAATCCATCATAACATTTATGTCCATAAGAGTAGTTTTCAGCTGCTATGAGAGCTATGAGAGTGTGACAACTTCCGGTTTTGGGGATGCTGGCTGCGCATCACTCTCATTCACCAATGGTAATGTTTAGATGGATTTAGGAACCTCCCCTCGATTCTATTGGCTCTGACGGTTAAAAAGAGATGTCAATCACCAAAATCGACCGAGGGGGGCCAGACATATGGAAAATGCACCCAAATGACCCCAGAAGTGATTTATTTTTGCTAAATCTCTCTAAAAAGGTCAAATGTCACTTGTTTTGCATCAATCTTGATACAGGGTACTTATTATATGCTATAGTTTGGATTCCTAAAGCTTTTAGTCTACTAACCCATCATCCAAGGATGGTTTTCTCTATAAGTAATGTTTTTCTTTGGACGGAAACTATTATTTACACTTTTTTACTATGTTCAATCTGAATTTACTTTAACATTTAAAATATATATATTGATTCTGACTCTTCTACATCCAACTCACAGGTTTATCATTGCTTTGAGAAAACATATTATGAATTTACCCCTTTTAGAAGTGAAGATATGGTCATTTGTTCTGGGCATGTCATTTTCGCGCCTGAAACCTGAAAAACAGGCTCGGGGCTTAACAGGTTAATAATTCCTCTGTTCCTCCAGCCTTTCCCCATTATTATTTTGGTCGTTTCTCGGGCTCAGAGAGTGCAACCGGCTGTGTTTGCTAACCAGAGCAGAAATAAACTGTTTGTCCACCATCTTCATAATCAACCCCTCCCATTTCTATCCACCCAAAATACAGTATAAATACCTACAATCTGTTACACACTGCACGTGCATTCCTTGTTTCTCAAACACTACACACAAAGGCATCTTTCTTTTTCTCAATTGGTGGCTTTTCTTTCAAAATAGCAGTTAAAAATAAAGCTGTGAGCATGTTAATATTTGTTGATGTCTTGTACTGTACACATCAGTCAAATGCAGACACAGTGATTACTTGTGTCAGGTTGGCATTAATGAAAGCAGGTTTTCTCTCTGTTTTCAGCGCCGGTTTTCCCACCACCACATACAAGATGCCAAAAATATATATAAGCTCTTGTTTATATGTCATATATTTAGGCTTGGATTCATTGAGTGCCACAGAGTTTTCCAAAAGCTGCTTCTTCAATAGCAACTTTTGTATTCAACCTAATTCAATAGTACAACATCGTCACTCATGTCGCCAAAATGGACAACAAGGAACAACTCTGCAGCTACCTGAGCTTTTCCCGCCTTTTTTAGCTAACGGTAAAGCACACTAACTATATTGTTGTGGTTTTAGTACTCCATCAACCTTTGTAAGCAGCTTCTGTTGTCAAAAAAGGCTAACTAGCTTTACTAAAAGCTGCCCAGTGAAAAGCTAGTAAAAAGGAAGAAAGCTAACTATGCAGAAATGGTATTAGTTGAGGCGTGTTAGCCTTAATAAGCTAATATATATAAGTGTGGTTTGATGCTGTCTGTGTTTCTGCTAAGCGACTGTTACACAATTGATTCACACTTTTAAAAAATCCAACTAAAAGCTTTTAAAACGACAACAAAGAACATTGACAATGCTTTTCACAGCAGAGCCCTTCTGTGTAACTGTGTAAATTAAAAAAGAATATATAAATGCAATTATCTTGTGATTTACATGAGATAATGCTCTTCACATTAGCAAAGCAAAACCTGGTTTTTCAAACAAATGTTTTTGCTTTTAATTGCAATTTTTTCTCTGAATTGTGGATTTGGATATAACATCATATTGTAAAACAATTGATCAAGTGTGTCTTGATGTCCACACATTTGGTTCTCATTGAATTACCTTTTATTGTACCTCCATACTATACTTAGTTTTTAAATTAATTGTTATTATTATGCTATTTTATAAGAATTAAATGGACACAACTGTAAGTGCAACAGCAAAGCACGGTGAAATGCGACATTCAAAAGATAGAAAGACATAACAAATATTAAAATGTAATATATTTATTTAAACATTTAAAGTCCAATTAAATACATACAAATACGTCAACAGTTTGAAATAAACAGAATGACAGACTTAAAATAACATTTAATATATTTATTTAGAAATAGAAAACAGATATACAGACATCCAATAAAGTTATAAACATATAATAAGGAGAAATACGTAGAATCACAGACATAACATATAATAATAATAATGACAATAATAATAATAATACACAATAATAAATAGTAACACATAATAATACATCATTATCAATCATAATAATACATAACACCTAATTATCAATCATAATAATACATAACACATAATTATCAACCATAATAATACATAATAACACATAATAATACATAACACATAATTATCAACCATAATAATACATAATAACACATAACACATAATTATCAATCATAATAATACATAATAACACACAATAATACATAATAATAATAATAATACTTTCAAATGTAATTATCTTATTTGTACAGGTGGGATGAAATGCTAATTAATGCCCAGTGTGGAAAAAATAAGTCATTTTAAGCCCAAGTGACAACAAACCCTCCCTCAAGCGGAATAACTCTCATAATAATGATTTAACCAGGCAACGATCAGTGTCTAATGGGCCTAAAGAAGAGAGGAAGTGCTCTTTAAAGGAAGCCAGTGTGTCCTCCTCTCTCCTGGGATACAGCTAACAATCATGCTGTTTACATTTATACTTTTACACTAAGATTTTATATAAAGATGTCCGCCTGCGTTCTTCCCCGTCGTTCCTTCTAGTGTCGGCGCTCTCCCCCGTAGTTTTGGCTCTCCCCCGTAGTTTTGGCGCTCAACACCATCGAACTTGGCGCTCTCCCGCGTCGTTCTTCTGCGCTCTCCCATTGCTGACATCAATACTCACCCATTGTCGTCTGCGCTCTCCCCCGTCGTTCTTTCTGCACTCTTACCTGTCGGGCGTTGTAGCTCTCCCCCGTAGTTTCGGCGCTCTCCCCCGTAGTTTTGGAGCCCTCTCCCTTGTAGTTTCAGTGCTCTACCCCGTAGTTTCAGTGCTCTCCCCCGTAGTTTTGGAGCCCTCTCCCTTGTAGTTTCAGTGCTCTCCCCCGTAGTTTCAGTGCTCTCCCCCGTAGTTTTGGAGCCCTCTCCCTTGTAGTTTCAGTGCTCTACCCCGTAGTTTCAGTGCTCTCCTCCGTAGTTTTGGAGCCCTCTCCCTTGTAGTTTCAGTGCTCTCCCCCGTAGTTTCAGTGCTCTCCCCCGTAGTTTTGGAGCCCTCTCCCTTGTAGTTTCAGTGCTCTCCCCCGTAGTTTCAGTGCTCTCCTCCGGTCGGCTCTCCCCGTAGTTTCAACTCTCTCCCTCGTAGTTTCGGCGCTCTCCCCGTGGTTTCAGCTCTCTCCCCCGTAGTTTCAGCGCTCTTGTAATTTCAGCCCTCCCCCCCTTAGTTTTGGCGCTCAACCCCATCGGACTTGGCGCTCTCCCCCTTTAATATCTCCCTCTCTTGACACACCTGGGCTCCTCCTCCCCCTCTGGAGGATCCCCAGGGCGTCGCTTTCTCTTCCTGGTGCTCACAGACGAGCCTTCTGTGGGATAAAAACGTTTAAAAGTTTTAAAAACCTCCAGACAAATTACTGATTTGTAATGTATACAGGACAGTAAAGGAAAGTAACTAAGTACATTAAGGTACTTCATGTTGTACAACTTTATACTTCTACTCTACTGTATTTTGGAAGCAAGTATTATACTTTTTACTCATCGGCATTTATTTTATTTGACAAATTGACTTACTAGATACTTTTAAAAATTACGATTTTGCAATACTTAGGAAAAACTTATAAAATATGATTATTTGGTATCGAATATATTTAAGTAACTCAAGGCTGGTGAACTGAACATTTATTGGCAGCAATTTAACTTCACAGTCCCAGCTTCTTAAATGGGAAAGTTTGCTGCTTTTGCTTTAAAATATTAAACAAATATTTCACATTATAGGGAGGCTGTGGCGCAGTGGCCTAGTGTGTTGGTGTTCGGATCAGGGGGCACAGGTTCAAGTCCCACTGCAGTCAGCATGTCGTTGTGTCCCTGAGACACTTCACCCCAAATTGCTCCTGTGGGGATTGCCCTCAGTATCGAGTATGTAAGTCGCTTTGGATAAAAGCGTGACATGTAATGTAATTATGTTCTGCAATGAGTTCATTTACTCCTAACACCTTAAGTACATTTTCCTAATCGTACTTAAATTCTACTTGGGGACGATTCTCGATGCGGTACTTTTACTTGAAATGTAGTACATCTAAAGTGTAGTATTAGTACTTTTACTCAAGTAAAGAATCTGAATACTTTTCCCACCTCTGAAACAGGACAAGGTTAATCAATTGAATACATCTCAAAGATGAGCTTACGTGTGTTTGTCTCCTCCTCTTCCAGGCTCGTGTTCCTCTTCTTCCTCTCCGGAGAGCCGCTGCGTTCATTTCTGCACGGAAGAAACTTGTTTGAATCTCTTGACTTTTAACAGTGATTTGAGTAAATCGTTACAAACTGATAACTTAACACCTACTTTGACTCGATGTGGGACGCTAAGAAAGTGTCCCACGTCCGCTTTCTCCCGGGTTTTCTTTCCGCTTCTTCAGAATCATCAAGCTTCCTTTTCTTCCTCTCCGGTGAGGAATTGATTTGCTTTCTGCATTTTAAAGACATTTTTATTTTTACCTCATTAATTCTTACAGTGAGTTCTAAAACAGTACAGACAAGAGAATAACACCTACCTTAATCCAGAGGCTACAAAAGTGTCCCACGTCCGCTTTCTCCCGCGTTTTCTTTCGGCCTCAGAATCATCCCTTTTCCTTTTCTTTCTCTCCGGTGAATCCTTGACTCGCTTTCTGCATTTAAAGAATATTTGTTTTAGTTTTTAACCACATTAATTGTAACAGTGAGCTTCAAACAGTAAAGACAAATATAATAACACCTACTTTGACTCGATGTGGGACGCTAAGAAAGTGTCCCACATCCGCTTTCTCCCGGGTTTTCTTTCCGCTTCTTCAGAATCATCAAGCTTCCTTTTCTTCCTCTCCGGTGAGGAATTGATTTGCTTTCTGCATTTTAAGAAGGTTTTTTTTTGTAAGTGAATAATGACGATAAAGGTTTCTATTAAATTCAAACAGTACAGACAAATATAATATAACACCTACTTTGACTCGATGTGGGACGCTAAGAAAGTATCCCACGTCCGCTTTCTCCCGCGTTTTCTTTCGGCCTCAGAATCATCCCTTTTCCTTTTCTTTCTCTCCGGTGAATCCTTGACTCGCTTTCTGCATTTAAAGAATGTTTTTTTTAGTTTTTAACCACATTAATTGTAACAGTGAGCTTCAAACAGTAAAGACAAATATAATAACACCTACTTTGACTCGATGTGGGACGCTAAGAAAGTGTCCCACGTCCGCTTTCTCCCGCGTTTTCTTTCGGCCTCAGAATCATCCCTTTTGATTTTCTTGCTCTCCGGTGAGCCCTTGACTCGCTTTCTGCATTTTAAAGACATTTTTATTTTTACCTCATTAATTCTTACAGTGAGTTCTAAAACAGTACAGACAAGAGAATAACACCTACCTTAATCCAGAGGCTACAAAAGTGTTCCACGTCCGCTTTCTCCCGCGTTTTCTTTCGGCCTCAGAATCATCCCTTTTCCTTCTCTCCGGTGAATCCTTGACTCGCTTTCTGCATTTAAAGAAAGTTTTTTTTTGTTTTTAACCACATTAATTGTAACAGTGAGCTTCAAACAGTAAAGACAAATATAATAACACCTACTTTGACTCGATGTGGGACGCTAAGAAAGTATCCCACGTCCGCTTTCTCCCGCGTTTTCTTTCGGCCTCAGAATCATCCCTTTTGATTTTCTTGCTCTCCGGTGAGCCCTTGACTCGCTTTCTGCATTTTAAAGACATTTTTATGTTTACCTCATTAATTCTTACAGTGAGTTCTAAAACAGTACAGACAAGAGAATAACACCTACCTTAATCCAGAGGCTACAAAAGTGTCCCACGTCCGCTTTCTCCCGCGTTTTCTTTCGGCCTCAGAATCATCCCTTTTCTTTCTCTCCGGTGAATCCTTGACTCGCTTTCTGCATTTAAAGAAAGTTTTTTTTTGTTTTTAACCACATTAATTGTAACAGTGAGCTTCAAACAGTAAAGACAAATATAATAACACCTACTTTGACTCGATGTGGGACGCTAAGAAAGTATCCCACGTCCGCTTTCTCCCGCGTTTTCTTTCGGCCCTCAGAATCATCCCTTTTGATTTTCTTGCTCTCCGGTGAGCCCTTGACTCGCTTTCTGCATTTTAAAGACATTTTTATTTTTACCTCATTAATTCTTACAGTGAGTTCTAAAACAGTACAGACAAGAGAATAACACCTACCTTAATCCAGAGGCTACAAAAGTGTCCCACGTCCGCTTTCTCCCCGGTTTTATTTCGGCCACACGGATCGTAGGCTCTGGATAAAAGGACAAAGCAAAGGTCAATCAAAAACTGATTAATGAATCACCAGATTCTTAGATTCATCCTCCTGTGAAACATCCCCTCTTAGTTTCAGATTTAAGATATCTGTTGCAACAGCTGTGTGTAAGTATAAAATACTCATTATTATTTATGAACAGTTGCCTACTTTTTGGTGTCTGGATGATTTCTGTGTTCCTGCTCTCGCTCGATGGTCTGTCTCTCTCCGGGTTGCTGCATTGACAAAAAAACGGGTTTTAATATCTCCAATTATAACTGCAAATATCATAATATAACAAAAATAATTATTGCGTTAATTCTTTTCTTTAAACAATATTTAGAAATGTTGTGTTAAGATATGCAAACAAGGCATTATATCCTTTCAAATGAGCTAGTTTGTTTACATTTTCTTGAACACAAATCTTTCATTATTAAGTAAAACTAAAACATTGACATATTAAATTCAAAGGTTTAACTAAAGGAATATCCATTAGTATCACTACATAAATCAGAACACACTGTCTAAAGCCATACAATAAATCACATTTTTGATCAATAAACTACACAAACATCTGTAAAAACTTTCTAGAAAATGGCTTTTAAAGATGTGTAAAGTAAAAATGTATGTACAGACGTTTTGCAAGACACTGCAGGAAACAATATTTGTTGTATTACAAGATGTGTAAATATACAAACAAATGCATTTATATGAAGTAAATTAAACACTTCTGTGTGTAATTTGCACGTTTTCTCTACTACACTGATCGAAGACATGTAATAGAAGAAATGTCCTAAAATGGACCTGTGTGTGTACATAAAGATCTTCTGTCCTACAACACTTACCTGTCGTCACCGCGGGGTTTTCTCCTCGATGATTTCCTCAGCGCCTTCCTCCCGGTTCTCTCTTGTTGGCAGGGTGGAGCCGCAGTGCTAACCTGCAGTGGCGGGGACACAGGCTTTACAGCAACAGGCGATTGAGGAGGGGGTTGTTGTTGTTGTTGTTGTTGTTGACTCTCTTCATCGTTTATGGAGAGGCTGTCCGATAGCTGGGACGAGATGCCCAGGATGAGGGGGTGTTCTTGGGTCCTGAACCAGGCGGGGGGGCCCTCTGCTCCGCTGATGGAGGGCGACAGGTTCATCTGACCCCCGTCAAAGCCCTCACTCTGATCCAGGCAGACCTCCATCTTTTCACAGCTGGATTTCACGCTGAAAAGACGAAGAAAAAACATTGTTAAAACCAACGTTCCGAATCAGGAACCCTTTACAGTACTGATAGTTAGTCTTTTTTGCATGTATTTCAGTTATTTCTGAACTATTGTGTCACTTGCACATCTCTCTTGCACTATTTTTACATTATCTTTACGTCTTCAGTTTGTTGCAGTGTCAAAGAAGCCTTGGATTTAGGATTTTAGTTCTCAGAACTACACTTTTACTATTGTGCAGACGACAATCAAGTCTTTTAAATCGCATCAGAATCAAAAGTAAATAATAAGATAATGCATTAGACCCAGTCAGCGTGATGCGGCCTCTCTATCTTGTTGCAGATATGTTAAAACAGTTGTAATGAGGACTCACTAGAAGCTGTTCTGGTGGTTTTGAGCGAGGTGGTTCAAGGTGATGAAGGGATGCTGAAGAAGCTCGCTGGGGGAAATCCTCCGATCGATGTCCAGGTGAAGCGTCTTCTTCAGCAGATCCAGGAACTCCTGCCGGTCTTCAGTTTCTGCCGCGGTGTCTTCGTCCAACAGGTGGCGGGGGGGTTTTAACTGAATCAGAACAAACCAGGAACATTATAGTTAAACCTCTATTCATCTCGGTGGATCATGGAAACAGATTTACGGCAGATGTTCTCAGCTCGTTTTCAAATAGTATTTCCTACCATTATTATATCATTCAGCGAGTTGAATTGTCCGGCGCTTGTGTTGGTTTCTCCAGACTGCTGAACGTTCTAAAGATAAATGATATAGGATTAGGTAACCTGTCTCAAAAGGAAATTAAAAACAGTAAGATATTTTAGTTTAAAAGCAACTCAGTGCTGGTACCTTCAATCTCCAACGACGTCTCCTGTCCTTCTTTCTATAATGGAAAAACCAACGCGTTTTGACGCCTCTGTACATGAGACGAGCCGGAGGATGACCCTGAGTCTGCACTATATGTCGCAGCTGTTGACAAAACACAAAAAAAAAAGTCAGTTACATTTGTACGGAAGAGGATTAGGGCTACATGATTTTTGGGAGGATTTGAAAAAACATCTTTTTTGTTCTGAGAAAAAACTCAGAATTTTTTTTCTCCCAAAAAAAAGATTTTTTTTTTCAAATCCTCACAAAAAAAAAATGTATGTGGCCCTAATCCTCTTCCGTACACTTACATCAATATTAGGATTTCACTACAAATATCATAGAAGTTCTTCAGAAAAGTTTACAAAAAGCCAACGTTTTACGCAGTTACAGTATCTCCCTTTTTAAAGAGGCCCTACTTTGCTTTTTTGGGGTTTCCCACCGTTTTGTTTTGCATTTTATGGTGAAATACACACATTTGCTCTCTTGCACAGAGGCACAGATCGATACGTCTCTGATGTCTGCGCATAAAGTATATTTCTATAACCAGAAAGTGATTAGCTTAGCTTAGCATAAGTAGGGAAACAGCCTGGATCTTGCAAAAAAAAGTTACACTATAAAACCACGGATAGTTGCTTTTACATTCTGTGCATCAAAGTGCCTCAGTGCGTGCTATAATAAAGATTAAGACATTTGAACCCTCAGCTACAGAGCCTGTTCTTCATGCACCGCCATTTTGATGTGGCATTGATGTAGTACGATGCAGGGAAGAACTACAAACTACTTAGGCTTGGATTTCTCTCGTTAGTCAGGTCATGCTCTCTGAATGCCTTGTTCTATTAGCTTGTATCGCAAACTAACTACATTTGTAACCGCGGAAATAGCAAATGAGCAAAGTGTTTCTCAATTAACTACATTTACTATCAACACTGATTTGGACTCCAACATAAAAGGTGGAGGATTTTAAGTAAAAAGTGTTTGTTAGTGAGAGAGCAAGGCTAGCGGTTTGTAGCTGCGGTCAGTCTTTATGCTAAGCTAAGCTACTGGATAATAAACACATACATTTGAGCGTGGTATTGATCTAACTCCTGGAAAGAAAGTGAAATAAATGTTTCTTAAAGACACTGTTTGAGCCACCACGACTAATATAAGGTGTGTATCCTACTGTTTATCCCTTCTACATAATAAATATAAGCTTCACAGTATTGTTACACCCACCATTTCGTGCTCGGTGTCTCCAGGGTACAGCACAGCGCCCGTGAACAGCTCTGCGGCGATGCAGCCCAGAGACCACATGTCGATGGCTGACGTTATGGGGAATCCTAGGATAATCTCCGGAGACCTTAGAAAAGACAAATAAACATATATCGTTTTAGTTTTGAGTAATTTCACAATTTAGTTTGCTATTTAACTTCTTAAATATTAAAAGGTCCCCTATTGTACAGTTTTTCATCAATATATCACAGGTCTCAGATATATACAGAGCCTGTCCCTGATTGGCTGGAACACCAAACAGATCATTGCAGCATTACCCATAATCCCCTCTGTTTCAGCCCTGTTTCAAAAGTGCTGATTCTCTGTCTGTGACTTTAGATGAAAATAAGGAGCCCCTCCCCACGCCCCTCTGAGAGACATTTGGTTACAAAGAACTCAATGGTGCTCTAGGAGGAGATTCAGGTGATAAGGGGGGGGGGTTACCTTGGTTGGTGATTGGCTAATGGTTACTCAAGCCAAAACATCGTTATGACATCACAAAGTGGCCAAAATCTGATCAGCTCATTTTCAGACAGGTTTTTATAGAAATGGATCAAAAAGAGAGAGAATCTTTGTTCCTGAACTTATCAGAGTCTCTTTACACAGAGGGGACACATGGTGATGTAGAAGAGACATGAAGAAGAGGGGACACATGTTGATGTAGAAGATACAGAAGAAGAGGGGACACATGTTGATGTAGAAGAGACATGAAGAAGAGGGGACACATGTTGATGTAGAAGAGACATGAAGAAGAGGGGACACATGTTGATGTAGAAGAGACATGAAGAAGAGGGGGACACATGTTGATGTAGAAGAGACATGAAGAAGAGGGGACACATGTTGATGTAGAAGAGACATGAAGAAGAGGGGACACATGTTGATGTAGAAGATACATGAAGAAGAGGGGACACATGTTGATGTAGAAGAGACATGAAGAAGAGGGGACACATGTTGATGTAGAAGAGACATGAAGAAGAGGGGACACATGTTGATGTAGAAGAGACATGAAGAAGAGGGGACACATGTTGATGTAGAAGAGACATGAAGAAGAGGGGACACATGTTGATGTAGAAGAGACATGGAGAAGAGGGGACACATGTTGATGTAGAAGAGACATGAAGAAGTGGATTATTTTGCATAATAGGTGACCTGTAAATCTTCTCCACCCGCTGCCGGTTTCTCACCTGTAATGTCGTGTCTGCATGTAGTCGCCCAGCTCAGACTTAGCGACGTGACACGCCACGCCGAAGTCGATGACCTTGATTCTCCACGGCTGCTTCCCGTGGTCCAGCAGCATGATGTTCTCCGGCTTCAGGTCCGTGTGCACGACTCCCAGACTCTGGAGCAGCTGCAGCGTTACGGAAACCTGAAATATAAGATCGCGAATAAGTCTTTATGCTAAGCTAAGCTACTGGATAATAAACACACATTTGAGCGTGGTATTGATCTAACTCCTGGAAATAAACTGAAATTAAATGTTTCTTAAAGATATTGTTTAAGCTACCACGACTAATATAAAGTGTTTGCATAATTGTGTGCGTGTGTATCCCTTCTACATAATAAATTAAAGTTTTTAAGTATTGCTACACCCACCATTTTGTATAATCAGTTGCAAAAATGTTGCTTAATTCTTTCAGGCAGGATATTTCTTATCAGTTCTGTGGAAATGTTCAGTTGTTTTTCTATGTGTCTGTGGAGCATCTAGCGTACCTGGTACAGGATGGGGCGGATTTCGTCCAGCTCCAGCGAGCGGTGAGGCTTCTGATAGAGGAACTCAAACAGACTCATGTCCAGGATCTCCAACTCCAGACAGACGTGTTCGCCGTACACAAACACATCGTTGAACGTCACAAAGTTAAACCTGTCGGAGTCAAACGCTCTGAGCTCTTCCATTATCTCTATCTGGGGAACAAACGATTGCATGTTAAGAAAATATATCTTCACAGGGCTGGATGAAATACAGTTAAAATGATGATGGACGTCCATTTGAAGTATTAATAACATAAGAAGTAGAGACATCAGTATGTCTACCTAGAAGGTCATTAGTAAGGTTTTGTGTTTACACCTCACCCATTTTATCCATTCTTCTTTAAGTATATTAACTTGATTTCCAATTGTCATGCCCATTTTATACATTGCTTTTACAAGTTATATAGTTAATTATTGCAACTCTAATAACTAGGAATAAGTGACAATCTTTATTTCTTGATGTTTTCTGGTGTTTTTTAGCAGGATATTTGGGGTTTTATCTACAGAAATACCCCAAAAAGCACATTATCTCCAGGATTTTGAAGTTCAATTAGTATTTATTTCACTTTTAGTTGTGTTAAAGTATTAAATAATAATCTTCCACATATATTATTCCCAAGAATAAGATGTATTTTGAATGTTTCTGCTCTTTACTTCCCAGTAGGTTGATGATATAATGCAGAAGGCTAACTGGATGGCTGATCACAACCAAATCAATTTGTTTGTACGAAGCGATGAGTCAGACATCTTACTGCATGTTATACGGTGGTTATAACTTATAATACATCTATTAATAAGTAAAGAAATGGGAATTGGGGAAACCATAGATGTGATCAGAGTTGTTCCCTACCTCATTCTTTGCCTCTGGTGTTAGGGTCCTTTCCCTTCGCGATCTTCACAGCCACCGTCCTGTTGGTGGCCATCTTTAAGCACTTTACTACTTTCCCAAAGGTGCCCTCCCCCAAAAAGGACTGGATCAGGTATTGGGAGGAGGGGGAGGAGGAGGACACCCATGGGTTTGCACACTCCCCCTGAAGGAAAGGCAGCATGAGGATGAGGAGGAGGTGGAGGAGGTGTTCGTCTCTGCGTCAGGTGACGGAGTTGAGTTGGGGTCTCGATAAGACTACAGGAGGAAGAAGAAAGTGATTAACAACATGAAAGTCACATTTTGTCTCATCAAAAAAGTCTTTCTGAACTATACAAAACTAAATATATCAAAAGTCAATACAAATGTTGGCTGATTTCACAATTTGGACGATTCAATTCGTGCTTGAGCTATTTTTCTACTAGTTATGAACATCTCAAAAATGACATTTTACTGCTTTTTTGATAAGAATAACACCAATTATTTGTTCATTTATAGCCTTAACTGGATTCAAGATGGATTGGAAGTTGTTAACTCATCTTGTTAGTGAAATATATTAACATATTACTAAAAAACAAGCGCTCTAATGTACATCAATGCCAAAAAAGTGGGAACTCATTGACAAGTTCGGGATGTTCTTTACTTACTCCTGCTATTTTTTTGTTTGTTTTTAACGTCTTTGTTAACAAAAACAACATTCAAATTACATTTAGCTGCTTTTTTTTTGATAGACTAAACTGAATTTGATGAATTAAAAAACCTAAATAAGGTGCAAGATGGAAGTAGAAGTTGTTAAATCTTCTTGTTAGTGAAATATATCAACTTATTGTAATATAAGCACTTTACTGAACACTTAATGTGTATACAATGGGATTATAAGAATATATTTTAACATAAAATCGAATTTCTTTGTAAGAAAACTATCTTTTTATGTATTTACTACCAGATTTGATAAACTCACCATGTTGTCACTCAGTTACTAATCGTGTTTGAAAGTTTTGTTGGATTAAACAAGTTAAGTTTCTCCTGGTTGTGTTAGACCCGACTGAAGACAGAGTCCAGGTCCAGCAGGAAGCTTCTTTCTCCTGAACATTCCACGGCTTTTGTTACATCACATTCCAAATGGAATCTTAGTTTGGAATGTTCCGGTTGTCATGGCATCGAATAATTCTAAATTAGAACAATGGTGGCTAAAGGTTTTGGAATGTTTATATATCGCTGCTAACAAACAATAAAATGACAATTAATAACTATTTGTAATTAATAACTGTGCGACTGTGGCTGCGAGGGAGTGCGTTTGTTTCCACCAGAAGGTTATGGGTTAGATCTCAGCATTGGCACTTTGTGTTTTTATTAGTGCTGTCAAAATTATCGCGTTAACGGCGGTAATTAATTTTTTGAATTAATTGCGTTAAAAATATTTAACGCATGTGCAGAATGGCCCGCCCCATACGTGCCACCAGTCAGGGGCGGACTGGCCATCTGTAGGATCTGGAGAACCACAGAACGGCCGGTCGTCAAGGTCCGTTGACGGCCGGCCGGCCCTTTAAAAAAAAAATGGTTTAACGTCATCATTTAAATTGCACTGACGGCCGACAGAGGGCGACAGCGGCCGCTAATGCAGTTGTGTGGTTCTTATCTGTCAAATAACACACGAAGAAGAAAAAAGACCGGCCACACGAAGCGAAGGGATTAGACGCCGCGGCAGACAGGGAGAATGAAAAAACATGGATACAAATCAAAGAAAACTAAAATAAAAAGGTGGGGCCGAGAAGGCAAGAGAGAAAAAGGTGAAGTCACTCGCAGGTGAAGCATATCAATGTCGCAAATTGACAGACCTTTTTGGCAGCAGCGCTGCTACAAGCACTATCATCAGCAGCTTAGAACAAGTGCAAGATGATGAAGAGAATGATTAGGGCGCGAGTTCAGATATACAGCCAGCCTCCTGCGTTCATGATGAGGGACAGAGTTGAGCTGGTGGAAGAACCATCTCAACTGGCACATACAAGTGCAGAGCAAGAGGTGGGTGAGAATTATCCCTTGAACTCAGTGGCGTTTTCTCCTGGAGGCCAAGGGAAGCCAGGCTTCCCCTGTTTTTTTGGATTGTAGTTATAATAAATAAATAAAAACACTTTGTTTAGTTTCGGTAATTATTCTGCCGGCCCATCTCTCCCCCATTCTCATTGAGTATTTTACAAAGAGTGAAACAGCGCCCCTCTAGATGTTATGATGAAACAGTATTGCACTCTCTGTTGCGAGAGGAGGCTAGCCAAAATTGGCTTCCCTTGTTGAAAATAAATTGAGGGATTGACCAATCAGATGAGGCTCACTCATGCCTCACAATCCAATCAAATCGCATCAACTTCAGTTCGTACCGTAACAATTAGCTTTATTTAGCAATTATGGAGGGTGGAGATTTGGAGTATTTCATCAAAAATAATTGCACTAAACTTCTGCTACAGCAGCAACTAAAAATGTAATCTGATGACAGGCCAATGCCCAAACTGGAGCTGTGTACAGAGAGGAAAAAAGGAGCGAATCGGACGTAAAACTTTAAATAATAAACAGCGGATTTCTAACATTTGACATTTCATGTGGCCGGACTGGGTCAGTTTCCAGGGCTGAATTTTAGTCCCAGTCCGCCCCTGCCACCAGTGGCAGCGCCAGGGTATGGCTGGGGTAGGCTACACCCATACCAAGAAATGGCTTAGCCCCACCATGAAAAATGATGTTAAAGTAAGCAAAATAAAGTCTGCCAACTCGCACGGAGAATATTTTTGCTGTAGTTACTACAGCAAAAGTATTCTCCATCGGGAGTTC